TGTCTTCCTGGAATCCAGGGGCCCTGCTTGCTGCCCCCTCTTGTCTTGCTGGCACCTAGAACTCCCAGGGAGGAAAAAGCTACTGCCCAGCGTGGGCAGCTCTCCTGGCCTTGGACTCATCTCCCTCCTGCAGAACAGCCCTGTGTAGAGGCAGCGGAGAGGCAAGCATTGCCCTCTGGTGGCAACTTCTGGGACCACATGTCGCTCTGCCTGGCTGTGTTTTAACTCAAGTATTCTTAAAGCAGTTATTGAGCATCGTTTGTGTGCAATGTCTGGAGGAGGGGGTGCAGAAGGTGAGCAGTGAGGAGAAGGGGGCAAGGAATACTCTATGGGGTGCTCAGAGCTCGACCCTAGAGTCTGTGCTGTCCCTCCTGAGTCCTGGGTGTCCTCATCTCTGCAGTGAAAATCATGGCTGCCGTGGGGATTCACAGGCATCATGTGTGGAGTGCGTGTCAGCCTTACTCCTTGGCCAGGCTGGGTTTATAACACTTACGTGCTCAGTGCCTTCCAAGGACACCGCCGTCTGGGGGGACACACTGCACGTGTGGTTGCACCAGCCTTGGGGTTCCTCCAGGCAGGGCGGGGCTCAGGTGCCAAGGGGCCCTTTCCTGTGCTGTCCCTTCAGTGCAGTGGAGGGCCCCCCAGCAGCCGCTCCAGGTGGGGAGACCCAGCAGTGCCGATCCCCTGCAGATACACTCTGATTAATGGTGGCATTTCAAGGGCCTAAGGGTGTGGGGGCCCGTCCGGTGCAGTGGAGACCTTGGGTGTGTGAGATGTCTCTCACTCCCGTTAGCAGCCAGGCTGGCTGGGTCAGCATGGCTCAAGCTTGCTTGAAGGAGTCCCACAGATACACAAACACACCTGTGTGTATACTAGAGCTGGAATGGGCTCACTCCTCTGGTAGGGAATGATTTCCTCTCACAGGGGGAATTCGAGGGAGTCAGTACTCTGGGTGAGATGATATGGAGGGGAGTTGGGCATCGGATGAGGGGTGGACTCGTGGATGCTTAAAGCTTTAGGCACCTTCCCCAGGCACACAGGCTTCTTTACATCTGTGTCCACCGCTGCCTCTGCCCCTTTGCTCAGGCTGGTCTCTGCCCCTTTTCCTGTGTTAGCCATTACCTATCCTTCAAAGCTTGGTCAAAGCCTCCTCCTCCATGAAGCCTGTCCTGAAGACACACCTGTCCCGGGAGTGTCTGAACACCCTACACAAACTCCAGCTATTGCTACAGCACTCATGCATGTGCCATGCCCATCTCCTCAACTAGGCCCTGGACCCCACGGAGCTGGGTTGAGTCTTAAGCATCTTTTTTTAGCCACCATAACTCTCAGCCCAGAGCTGGACGATACAGTTGCTTGACAAATGTTCCATGTTGACCGCCAGGTGCTCTTACTTTCTATGCCTGTGAAATGCACGATTCAGACTCTCCCTGGAGAGGCAGGAGTCAGAGAAAAAGGGGGATGGCCGGCATAGGGTCGGGAAGGCCAGAGCAGCACAGTCAGGACAGGCACAGGATGGCCAGCAGTGTCCCCTCATTTCAAAGGCAGTGACAGCCCAGCAGTTAGCAGCATGGCCTCTGGAGCCAGATGGCCTGGGTTCAAGTCCCAGCCCTGGTACTTACCACCTGTGTGACCTTAGGCAAGATACTTAACCTCTCTGTGCCTTAGTTTCCTTATCTGTAAACTAGGATACTAAGAGTACCTCCCTGAAAGCATTATTGCCAGGATTAAATGAGCTTTAATACAAGGTTTCTCAAACTTCCACGTGCACACGAATCACCTGGGGATCTGGTTAAAAGGCCGATTCTGACCCAGCAGGTCTGGGGGTCCTGCAATACTGCATTTCTGACAAGCTCCTGGGGGACCTCGAGCCACAGTTGGCATGTCCGGGAGCTAACACGTGTCAGGCGCGTAGAGCAGGTCTCAGCACATAATTAGGGCTGGGGGAAGTGTTGTTAACTACTATTACCTAGTACCTTTCAAGGAAGGGCATGGCTTCCAGAACTTTCTGCCCTCTCTGTCCTTCATGGTGCTCTGTTCTCTGGAGCCTTGGTGATGCTGTAGCCTCTAATGTTTGCTGTGCTGAGGTAGGCTGTTCCGAACTTCCTTGGTGGTCTGTGCTCTGAGCCCTGAGGAGAGACAGGTGTTGGGGGCAGGCAGAGATGATTTGGGGCGAGCTGAGAAGGAAACAGGAAGAGGGCTGTTGGCGAGAGGCGGCTCACAGGCCCCCTCACTCAATGTCCGTGCTTGCACTGGTGTGAGCTTCACAGCCTAAACCGCACACCTCACAGCTTCCCCCGCCCCCTCCGCCTCTGCCGCCCCCTACTTCCTGCAGGAAAGGCACAGGTGACTTCAGCCAGGGTGCTATCTGGGCTCGAACCGCAGGCCAAAAGCCATTGGCCACATCCTCCTGATCTAAATGCCCTGTTCCCCTCTTCGGCCACTGGTACACTGGCCAGTTCTGGTTTGGTCCCTGAGCCTGGACTTAGGCAGGGGTGAGGCTGGGGTTCCTATGTACTTTTGAAGAGGGGAAGGAAGATGGGGGTAGGTGGATGGAGGGGCTGAGGGGCAGGGGGTGTGGAGGGAGAACCTTGTTGGGAAGCCTGGAGGGTCGAGTGTCTGACTCCGTGCTCTCCTCACCTGCTCCCTCTCCCCAAACGCCCTCGTCTCATGGTCTTTGCCTGCCGCCTCCCAGGGTGGTTTCAAGGGGTCCCATGTAGTGACCTGTGAAAAGCGGTCTCAGAACACAAATCACCTTCGTCAGTTAGGAGTGGGCGAGAGCCTTCTGGCAGGTGTAGCCAGCTGCTGCCTGAGTTCCATTTTGAGGTCATTTCCCAGACAGCAGCTCCAGGCCTCCAGGCATAAGCTAGTCAGAGTGTCCCTCTGGTCTTGCCCCAAGAGAGGGTGACACAGCCTGGGGCCCTTCGCCCTCTGCTGATTTCAGATTGGCTCATGAGCTCCGGGAGGCTCATGAGATCCAGGTCACGGGTTCAAGCCCCACATTGGAGGTGGAAGTGAACTTTTCTTTTCCCCACTCAGGTGGCAGCCCTATGCCTGCCTGGTTCTCTCCTAAATGGAGGGCCTTGGGCTGGGAGTGTGAAGCCCCCTGAGGCCCGAGGGAGGCAAGGTGCCCATTCAGATTCCTCCAATCAGAGGATGCTTTTCCTGGAAGAGCTTTCAGGATCATCGACCCAATCCCATCCCTGAAGGGTTGGGGAGGCCCAAAGAGGGAGGCCTGGCACCTTTGGCTCTCGCTTGCTCAGTGTCATCTGGCCTTCTGTTTCTGGTAACAGCACCCCGTTTCCCTTTGGAGATCTACCTTCCTGTAACAGGTGAGGTCTCGGTAAACCGTCCACCAAACTACTCCTTCCTCTCTAGACGGGGGGTGGTCATTTGAGCCCATCTTAACCAGTGAGACTGAATTCCAGTGGGTTGAAGCCAAGATACACGTGGAGGTTGGTGCCTTGAGGAGATCTTTGCAGCTAGGCCCTTGCAACTGGTCTGGAGCCTGTGCCCCTGAGACCTGGGTCTTAATCTGTCTCCAGAACCTGTGAGCTAGTCAAGATCCTTCTAGCTAGTTCTGTTTGACTCATGTTAACCATAGCCCATTTCTGTGGTCTCTAGCTCCAGAACAGTGATTACTGCAGGGAGGGACATGAAACTAGTGAGCTGGTGGCACTGCTGGGCCTCAAACGCAGGTTTTTATAGACTCCCAACCAGTGCTCATGTCCCCTGGGAGGAGTCTCCGACCTGAAAGGAGCGGTGGGACTGAAACAAAGTAGAACTGAAGAGAAGAAATGAGTGTTCCCGTCTATGGCAGGTGTTGGGGTGGGAGCTGTTGGTGGTTTGACTGCTGGGCAGAGTGTGAGGAGGCACAAAGAAACGGGGCAGGCAGGAAGGGGTCGCCAGCAAGGCCCCCGTGGCCTTCGCACGTGCCCCGGCTTCCCTGGCACGTGGTAGGACCTCTGCACTGGGGCAGGGAGGAGGGGAACAAGGATTTGGTAAACAGAGGGCATGCTGACCTGGTTCAGACAAACCATCGTGGGTATGTGACTGTGCAGTGGGAGGACTCACAGTGGGGCCATATCTAACTCACTCTGAAAGTGAAACCAGCCACCCACCAAACACGGGGGCCCCTGCTAGTTCTGAGAGCTCTGGCAGCCTGTCTCTTTATTAAGCAGCACCTAAAATGGAAACCAGTCAGCAAGACAGATTCAAGGTCAGCCAGCCAACTGGCATGTGCAGGGGCCTCACCAGGCCTTGGAAGTCAGGCGTTCGCCACTGTAGCCAGCCAGGGAGACACCCAGCTGTGGCTGCTTTTCTAGAATACACTAGGCAGCAGGAAGTTGTTGTCTTAGAGTCTCCTGTGTTGGCCCCTTAAATCCAGTGCTCATACCTGGCTATGTGACAACCTATTCCAAGGGCCCCCGCAGAGAGAACACCGTAGGGGCACGCACACTTCTCTTGCTCCCCTCTCACGCAGTTCCCACCTCAGCATCACCCAGGCTGGTCAGCTATAGATGAAGGGTAGGGTGGGGGTTGGCGGCTGGTAATTAAAGATGACATTAAGCCTTAATCTGTGTGTTAAGTGACTCTTCCTCTGTGCTCGGCAAAGTTTCCTGTTTGTCAGGAATTTCGGTTGCAAACCATAGAACCCAGCTTGGCTACTTTCTTGAGAAAAGGAATTTATTCAGATATTCTAAACCACAGGAATCTTTGGCAGGACTGGCAAACCAGGCTTGGAGGAGTATAGCATCTGAGATGTGATGTTTCGACGCCATCCTCACCAGCCTCTTAGATGTCTCTGCCTCCTTACCCGCATCACTCTCTCTCATACTGAGGTCTGCAGCAGAGACTTCTGATTGGGCGAGCCTGGTCACATGCTCACGCTCAGGATGGGGGCCTTCTCATTGGGGAAGCCTGGTCACATGTTCACTCCTTCAGCTGCAAGGGAGGCTGGAAAAATAAACTTTTGGTTCGTTGCTTGGGGCTCCTAAAGAAGCAAACACCACAAACACAGGAAAGGTTTGCAAAGCTGTGAGACCACAATGTAAGTAAATATCTGGCCGGCGCTTGAGAAGGAACGTTCCTGACAGGGGGTCCTATGTCTGCTTTGGCCCTCAGCGCCACCCTAGCTCCAAAAGTGGCACTTTCTGGCACCTCACTGGGCCAGCAGGCCTGGCGGTGGCGTTTGTTAGTTTAAGTTAGAAATAATGACCAATATTTTAAATGAGAGAATTTCACTTTTTTTTTAATCTCGTTTTTTTTGCTCTTTTTGAAAATTCAGAATTTTCTGGCAGTATTGAGTCAGCATTCCCATCTGCCACCTCTCCTGTAGATGGAGTCCCCATTTTGCTATGTAGGCATGTTAGCGGGGAACTCCTGCCCAAACCCACCATGAGGGAGGCACTAGGCCCCTTCCCTCACGTGGAAGTCATTGATGTTGAGAGGCTCAGAGGGTAAAGTATATTTTAGTTAATTGCTGATTGTCTAAAACCTCCATATTTGGCCCATGATGTCTTTAAAGTGCAGTTGGGATGGCCCTTGGGGCGTGCCTACAAACCTGAAAACATGAAAACAATGCCAAGAAAATCCTGTTTTAAAGTTGTGGGTGCACCTGTGTGAGCACACAGGTGGGACAGGCTTTGGGCTGCAAATGTAGGTGCCATGGGAATAATGACAGGGGGCCCACACCACCATGCATCTCTGAGCGCTGCCCAGAGGGGCCCTTCTCCACGAATCCTTGTTGCTGGCCTGGCACATTCTGAAGCTTTGCACTTGGCTGGAACTCCCCTTCCCCTGGCTCACTTCGGCCCCCTTATTCTAGGGAGGAGACCCCGTGGCCTTTTCTGTATCCTCATTGTGGCCTGTTTTAGGATCTGCCAAAATGTAATAGTTGTGTTTCTTCTCTCAGCCCCACTTTATTTATATTCTTAACGTGGCAACGAGGCCGACATGCCAGGGTGCCAAGAGTCAGGGACCAAGAGAAGATTGTATGGTTTCAGGCACCGCTGCCTGAATCTGGCATTGTCACTGATCAGGGAGTCCAGGGTCCCCTGTTCTCTGGAGACCCAGGGTCCCTGGCCCTGGAGTCAGGCTTGACTGGGGGTGTCATTCTAGAGCTGGGGTGGACTTCTGACCCCATTTACTGCTTTCCTCCAAGCAGACACTGTAGGCAATGGTGACAGCCAGCCAGAGGGACATTTAAATGTTTTCTGATTTTTAAATAAAAACACCAAGTAAAAAAAGCAAGCAAGCATAACTTCTAGTTAGAGAGGAACTTCTCACAGACACTTGGCAAACATCACACGTCGCCTTTCCTTGCTGTAACACGTAGATTGTCTTCTGAGAAAGATCACAGGTCTTGGTGAAACCTGCTTAAGAGGAAGAAAAAGTGAAAAGATGCTTTTCTACGAACTGTTTCCCACGGGAAAGAAGGCGGCCATTGCAGGAGCTGTCAGAGGATCTTGGGCGCGTTCCTGACTGTCCCCGTGACAGGACTCGGGCTTGGCAGTCAGGAAACAGGAGTTAATTAGGAGTCGGTGTGACTGTGGACAAAATGCTCCTATCCCTGGGTTCTGTGGGAACAGCGTGGTCCCGCAGGCCTGGTGACTCAGGACACTTTAAGGTTCCTCGGCAGAGGTGAGAGATGATGAGGGGCAGAGGAGGGGCTGGTGTTTGGGGAGCACTGTGAGCCTCTCCAAAGGGCCCCACGCTTTTGAGTTTGATTTTGGTTCTCATCTTATTTATTTCCTTAAGTAGGCATTATGTTCCCGTGAAACAAAGCTCAAATGGTACAAAAGGTTATTCAGGAAAGTTCTGCTCCTCTGCTTCCCAGGTCTCCCAGTATCCTTCCCTAAAGGAACATGCTGCTATCAGTCTCTAGGGGTTGCTTCCAGAGCTACTCAGAGTACATACAGGCTAGTTCACGGCCTCTCTCTCTCTCTCTCTCTCTCTCTCTCTCTGTCTCTCTGTCTCTCTCTTTCTCTCTTTCTCTCTCTCTCTTTCTCTGTCTCTCTCTCTCCTCGCGCACACACACACACACACACACACACACTCACACACACACACATGCATACTCACCCCTACACATGCACATACAGCACGCACTCACTTATGCCACCTACGCATACTCACACACCGAGACTCTACCTCACACGTGCACCCACCCTCACCCACGGAAGGCTCACTTTCACATCCATCACACTCACACCTTCACATACATCCTTACAAATGTGCACACACAGTCGGGCTCACTCTCTCACACCCTCACACACAACCCCTCAGTTACATTTACATGCTCACATTTGTCCCTGCTACACGAGTGGTAGCACACGACACACTTCATTCTGAACTTGGCTTTTTTTCACTCTGCCATACGTCTTGGGGATGGTTCCACGTCAGGAACAGAGAGCTGTCCCTTCCTTTCTTGTCAAGGCCACACTGCCTTCCACCTTGCGGATGTCCCCTAACTTAATTTCCTTACCCGTGGTCCTCTGTTGGTGCACGTTTAGGCTGCCTCCAGCCTTACCACCGTGTGAATCCCTTGGCACACACATTTTGTACACAGCACACCTCTCTCTACAGGATGAGTTTGAGCCTGTGCTGGAGATTCTGATAGGTGTTGTCAAGTCGTCTCCCCGAGAGGTGGTACCACTTTGAACGCACACCAGCAAGGCGACCCACCCTTTAAGACCACTCTTGGTGGCAAACCTTTCGAAACTTCAAATACATTATTCGCAGTGTTGTTTCCAACTTGCATTTTCTGGAATCTTTAGGGTATTGGTGCTTTGGAAACTTTGATTCTTTCTTTTTTCCTTTATTCCTTCCATCCCTGCATCTTGACACCTTCTGTATGTCAGGGGATTTTCTAGGCTCTGAAGCTGTCTGGATGGATTGCACACAGGCCCTGTTCTCAGGGAACTCCTAGTGTAGGCATGTGAACAGAAGGTCATGGCCAGATGCAATAAGAGGTGTGTGCATGAACCTGACCTGGCTGGGGTAAGGAGACAGGGAAAGACTGGTTTTAAATTGGGGAGCTGAGTTAGTCTGTAAAGAGCAGGGTGGGAATGGGGTGACCAACTTCATCCCAGTTTGGGCGCTGAAAGTCCTGTGTCTTGGGGACCCTTTCAGGCCCAGGCAAAGAGTGACAGCTGGTCCCCTGGAGCAGTCCTGGCAAGGAACCAAAATGAGGAGTGACTTTCTACATGAACAACATAGTTTGCAGGAGACATGAGCTGCTTGGGGTGCCAGTCTTGGAGAGGCCAATGAGCCAGCTGCTCACAGAGGAACATGGAGGAACACGGGGATTCAGGTCTGGAGCCCGGGAGGCCAGCGTGGAGGTGATTGTGTGGCAAAGCGGAGATGGCGAGGGTGACGGCCTGGAAGCGGGGAGGGTGAGGGACAGGAAGTGCCACAGAGGATGACCGCATTCTGGCTTGGGGACTGCTGTGTGGGTTGTCCCAATGAAGAATGGATGTCAGCCAAGGGATTGGCTCAGAGGAGAGCCCTCAGGGTGGTCAGCCACCAGGCCGCTCTTTCTCCTTGTCCCGCCCTGGTCACTCCGAGATCCCCTCCTACTTTGTGTTCTTCACTGGCCCGAGGGTACCCCACAGTCTTGGGTGGGGACCAGGCTGAGGGTTGGATGCAAAATCATGCATAGTGTCGCCTCCTGGCCAGGGACTAGGACTCATGTCTGACTGCCTGTAAAGCCTGGTGTTATGGAGGCAGGATTTTCTCCAGCTGAGGACTCAGCTACCTGCTGACTTTTGAGAAGTCAGGTCATAGCACCCGGGAGGAGTGGGAACAAAGGCTTGAGGGTGGGTGTGAGAGTGTCTTCTGGATGAGCAACTGTGCCATCCAGGCTGAGCAAGGGAGGGAAGCCAGGAAGGGCGGGTGGCCCGGGAGATGCTGGAGGTCTTTGCGATAGCAGAGAGAGCTAATGGTCCCGTCAAACCTGTCTTCTCTGCCTGTGTGCTCTGTACGTATAGCTAGGCCCGTTTCCCAGCCTCCTTTGTAGGTAGGTTGGACATATGACTCAGTTATAACGAATGCGATGTAAGTTAGAAGTGTCAAGGGCAACTTTGGGGATGGGGCCTTAAGAGGCAGAGGCATGTCCTTCTTTGCTGCCTTCCTCCACCTTCCAGCTGCAGGAATGCAGGTATGATGGCTGGAGCTTGAATAGCTCCCTTGGCCTATGCGGAAGGAGAAAGAGACTAAAGATGCCCTAGCAGCAAGACAGATGTAGTTCAGGATCCTGATGACGTCATAAAGGTCTTCCTCCAGCCCTGGACTGCCTGCCTGCCTCTGGACTTCTTTTATGTAAGAGAGAAATAAACTTCTCTTGGATTTTAGGCCACTGTTACGCTCTTCTATCCTCTCTGGACACACACAGTTGGACTTCACTCTAACTGGGACACTGTTGTAGGTGGAAGAGGGTGGCAGCAGCAAGGGGGGTGATGTCAGGGTGATGACAAGGTCCCAGTGTGGGCTGGGCCCGGGCACTGATGTGGAGTCAGACAGAGGCTCCCTGGGGAGATGACGGTGCAGGAATCTAGAGGCTGCGACGGGGACCCTGAGGTCTCCTGGGAGTTGGCGTGAAGAGCAAGGCGGAGGCGAGAGGCGGGAGCGTTATGTAGGTGTCAGGGCTGAGGAGGGCATGGGGGTCTGGTGACCTGGCTTGACCCCCAAAAGAAGCAGCCCTGTGATGGGCAGGTGGGAAAGTCATGGTCAGGGAGGGACATGGAGCCAGAAGACCCTGATCTGCGCTGGTCCCATGAAAGTGGGGTCCTTGGGTGGGGCTGGGTTCAGGGGTGGCTGAGCTGCTGGGGCTGTGTCCACAGAGCTGAGGTTGCAGGGAAGTTGGTTCACAAAGGGATGCTGTGAGGATGCCGGGGTGGGGGCGGCGGGATGGGGGTGTGTGGAGGGGACAGGAGGGGCAGTTTAAGGAATGCAGGTTTGATGCTCTCGGTGGTTTGGGTCCTGGGGCGGGGGCCTGCTGGAGGAGGCTGAGTCTGATCCCCAGAGGGCTGAGTGGACTCTGCCAGGCCCCTGCCATCAGAGAAGCTTCTGGATTCCTCTGCAGGTTACCTCAGAGAGGCCCTGATGTTCTCCTCAGACAAACCTCGGCTTTGATCCTGGCTCTGTCACATTCTGGTTGGATGACCTGTGAGCCTGTTTTCTTGCCTGAGGAAGGAAGGGGCTGCTCTGTGGAGAGCAGTCTCGGCAGGAATCAGCGCGTGCAGAGCCCCTGGGCACGCAGAGCTTGGCATGTGTGCTGAGCTGCAATAAAGCTTGAGCTGGCGGAAAGTTCAGAGATGACGGCAGGGCCGGCTCATGCGGAACTTTGAAGCCAAGATGAAGAATCTAGATTTTATTATAAATGCCCTGGGAACTCCTGGAAGGTTTTAAAGGGGGTGATGCAGTGAAATGACCTGATTTGGGTTTGAGAAAGATCGTTCTGGCTGTTGAGTGAGGAATAGACTGGAGGGGTCAGCGTGGAAACAGGGAGGCCAGCCAGGGGGCCCCTGTGGACCTGGCTGGGGGGAGATGCTGGCAGCTGGGAGAGGGGTGGGGGGGGTCCATGAAGCACGCGCACTTCAGTGTGCACTTGCTCACCACCCCGGCCTTGGGGCCTGAGCCTGGCATGCCCGTCTCACCCCCCTTACCTGGGGCACCGTCTGTATTAGTCAGAATAGTGCCCACTAACTGCTGGAACAGAACCTCCAAGTCGCAGAGGCCCAGCACCATATCAGTATATTTCTTGAGCATGTCCCAGTCTGGTGCGGATTGTTCAGGCTTCAAATTGCTCCGGTGGATTCTTGTAGGGGTGGGGAGGGGAGGCAGAGGAAGGAAAGGGAGTGGAGGAGAGAGAGAAGGAGGGAGAGGAGGAGAGTGAGAGACACAGAGGAGGATCAAAGGTAAGGGTTTTCAGGCCTAGAAGTAGACTAAATCGCTTCCCCCCCACATCCCACTGGCCAGACTCAGTTCATGGCCCCACCCGACTGCAAGGGAGGCGGGATGTGGAGTGTGGCAGATGCCCAGCAGGGCAACTCTCTGCACCGTGATGCACGCCCCCATGTGCGCCCACAGCTGAGGTTTAGGGAGAGGATGTGAAGATTGTGCAGTGTTGAGGTTCTCCTGGCTCAGCGTAGCTCACTCCCTGCTGTCCCACCTGAGGTGTCCTGGCTTGGGCCCCTCGGCAAAAGCAAGGCCCACCTGGCCTGGGATGGGGGTGCTGAATGTGGGGACTGTCCCCTTTCCCACTTTCCTTCCCCCGTTCAAGCAGCCTCAGCGGGCGCAGGCTACACTTGCTGCCCCCCCTCTCCCAGGGCATCTGGCTGGTCAGAGCTGCTGCCTCTCCCTCCCCTGGCCCCCTGTGGCCTGTGTCACTGACCAAAGCAGGGCCTGTGGCAGCCACCTCAGGCTTCTCTGCGCCTGGCCTGGCTGCTGGGTGCTCAGCAAATGTTTGCTGAATGAGTGAAAGAAGGAAAGAGGGATGGAGGAGAGAGAGCCGCAGGAGTTCATGCTGGCAGGCCGATGCCCATCCCTGTGGGCAATACTGTTGGGCGAAGCTTCTTGTGACAAGCTGCGTTCACGATTTCTGGCTTCCCCTGGGGATGTATATATATTTTTTTCTTTACTTGTGTTTTTAAGTTTTAACTGAATTCATGTCTTTTGGGGCAGGAAATATGTTCCTGAAGTACAAAAGGGTCTACAGTGAAAAAAGTCCTTCCTACCCCCTTTCCTCACCTGGCTTTCTTTCCTGGGAGAACCAGTGTTCCTGATTTCTTGAGAAGCTTCCAGAAATATTCCAGGCTTCATATGTCTTGGCTAGTAGTCTCATCTTGGTGCTGGTTGCGTTACTACCCTTTCCTGCAGCCAGAAAGTCTTGCTTGAGGTGAGAGGGGGGGGGTCAGGTGGGGGGTGAGAGGGAGGAACTGGCCTTCAGTGCAGCCTGCTATCTGTGGTCACGGCCATTGTCCAGTCCTCTGGACATACGGGGCAGAAACTGTTCCGCCGTCGCTCCACAGGTGTGGACATTGGAGCAGAGGTCACTCAGCTTCAAAGCAGCCTTGAATGTGGCCTTTTCTGCAACATGGACAGCCCTAGTGCCCCTTCCCATTCAGAGCGGGGCTGGGCCTGAGTTTCTTTTCAGGGTCTTCAATTCTGCTTTCTCGTTTCTGTGCAGAGAGGGGTTCTGCAGACCTGCCCGTCCCACTTCTCCTTCTGCTTGCCGTGTTCTCTTTCTTGAAAGAGATGGCAGCTTCCAAGACCTCCCCCTGCCCCCCAAGCAAGGCCATTAAAATCAAGGGAAAGGGACAGAGAGGAGCTACTTCTTCTGGACACTGGGTGGAACTTCACAGGGTCCCTGGGCCTGTGAGGGACACTGCACCTAGATAGACGTGCACTTTTTTAAAGAGGGGTCCGTAACTTTTCGTCATTAAAAAAAGCCCCGAGCTGGCCTCCTCCACATTGACCAAAGAAAGAGGGGGGAAAAGGATTAGGAACTGACTTGAGAGGAAGAGGAAGGTTCTAAAGTGTTCAATAAGTGGCCATCAAGTTGTTTGCAAAGCCCTGAGAAATAATCACCTTTGAATGATAAACTGAGTAAGGGGCTTCCTGGAAGGCTGGGGTGAAAAGGGAGGTCTCAGAAAGGTAGGTGCAATGAGTGTGAAGAGCTGGGGGACATCTAAAGGGACATGTCTGTGTGAGGCTTGGGTGTTAGTGGGTGTGTGTGTGACCGGATAAAGGTGACAAGTCTTGAGGTGGCCTGTGTGAGATTGGGTGTGGGTGGTGTAGGAGAGAAAAGAAGGGGCTGTGCCCCCTTAGGCTCCTGTGTGCAGCCAGGAGTCTATTTGAGAGAGTGTGTGTGTGTGTGTGTGTGTGTGTGTGTGTGTGTGTGCGCGCGCGCGCGCGTGTTCACCCACGCTGCCTCCCCCGCCCCCAGAGGAGGAGGGAGATCTTTATCTGTCCCCTAAATGCTTCAGTTTCGGGGTTTCTCAGCAAGCCAGATCTTTCCCGCCCCCTTGCCCAGGCCTTGCCCCCTCCAGCCTCTACAGGAAGTGGGTTGGCCCTGGGGTTTATTCTTTACTGACCTCATCAGCCTACTTGCTGCCTGGACCGCCAGAGCCGGAGCAGGGCCCTGGGGAGATGGCTGTGGTCCCAGCAGCGGAGAGAACCGGAGAGAACCTGCCGCAGCTCCATGTCTCAGCCAGGTGATACCCGCCTTGCCCTCAACCTGCCCCTCCTGAGTCCCCTGGGTACCAGTAGCTCCCTCATGGCCCCTGCCATCAGCCCCCGGGGAAGGGGGGTGGGCTGGAAGTAAAGGTCACGGGGATGACTTTCAGCTCTGACTGAGCCGACCCCCCCACCCCATTCTCCCGCTAGCAGTTTCTGCTTAAACTTTTATCTCCCAGCCCTCCCTCCAACCTGATCTTAGCCTCTCCCGAGAATGGGGCAGGCTCTGATCTGGTGACTCTTGGCTTGAGAAAAAGCGGGTCCCCAGTCCAAGTCTCTCTCTTCTTTCCAGCCTATCCTGGGGGGAGGCTGGAGGCTGCTATGGGATGAGGGGCCTCCCCAGGCCCTCTGTTGGTCCCCCAACCCAGGGGGGTGGAGAAGAGGGTGGGAGGACTGGCAGAGGAAGGCCACCTGAGCCTCCGATGGGCTGGGTGCTCAGAGAAGGCACTGGGAAGTGGGTGCGAGAGATGACAGCCACCTCCTGATGGCTGTGGGATGGGGCCCACTGGGGAGGCTCCCCCTGGAAAGCGCTCCACAGGAGGCTTGCAGGGCGAGGGAGGAGACCTGGCTGTGAAGTGGGGGTGCATGCTGGGAGGTCCCTGGGGTTCAAGTCCAGATGTGTCCCTTACGTGGCTGTGTGACTGGGGGTGGATGGGACTCCCTCTCTGGGGCTGTCTGGTGGGCACCCTCTCTCTCCTCTCCTGGGGGCCGAGGCCTCCCGTCCTTAACTGTGTTTAGAGCACCGTGGGAATGGGGCTGCTGGGGGGCAGAGCCATCCCCAAGGTCCCCTTCCTTCCCACACATCTAGGACCCCACACCTGCTGGGAAGATGCCCCACAGTGAGACGTGTGCGTGCGTGTGTGTGTGTATGTGCGTACTGGGGGGGTGTGTGTGGAGGTGTAGGGGGTTGGAGGATGAGGGAAGATGGGGTCCGTCAAGTTCAGAGGTCAGGTGGGACACTTTTTTGGCTACTGAACTCCTGCTTCAGATCCTCCTCCAGCCTCCACAAACCCCCGCGTTCCACAGCCTCCGCCCCATGGGGCCTCAGACTGCATCTGACTGGGTTCAAACCCCAGCCCCACCTGCCTCTAGCCTGGGCAAAGGCTGCCTTGTGTGTGCCTCGGTCTTCCTCATCTGAGAAAAGGAGTCATAATGGTACCTACTCTGAGGGTTGCTGTGAGTGCTAATGACAGTGCCGGGCACAGGGTACAAGCTGAGTATTAGTCACCATCATCATCATCATTGTCATCATTGTTATCGTCATTATTATCCCTATCTTCTAACCTGAAATCAGATGACCTGATTTTAGTCCAGCCCCTTGCGTGGCTATGCATGTCAGCCTTAGCATCTATCAAAAGGAGGACAATGACATCCACCCTCACCTCCCCCACCCCAGGGTTGTGGTGGGGACCTAATGAGTCAGTCGGTGTGAACAGCTCTGCAGCCAGGAAGGGAACGTGTGGATGTGTGTGAGAACCCAGGATGGAGGTGCTTGGCACTCAGAGGTCTGACTTGCCCTCCCTGAGGGTGGGACTCTTCCTTGCTCTGTGACCTTGAGCAGGTTTCTTAAACTCCCTGAGGCTCAGCTTCCTCCTCTGCATGAGGGCGCAGCCTCAGACACTGCCAGGAGCCCCCCAACTCCCCAGCCCTCTGGCACACACCACACTCGCCCGCTCTGTCCCGGTGTCTGCCCCTCCTCACCCTCCTCCGTGTACTTTGGCCTCTTGATGTCTGTTACTGTACTTTTCCTCTCCCCAGGCTCCCCGCTGCTGGGGCTGAGGTTTGTCTCTGACCTTCCTGCAGTCTTGCATGCCTTTGCCCCCCCCACCTCCTCTCACCCTGGGGCTTTGTGCCAGGTCCTGTCCTGGGCATGGGGTTGCCTGTTGGCTGTGGCCTGAACCCGGGGGACACCCTCCAGAAGATAGACAGTGCCTATGCCCCAGGGTCGTGATCGGATGACTATGGAGAACAGGGGGGCTTGCTGGGAGCCTTTTTGCTGGACTCTGCACCCTTTGGGGTTCCAACCCTGTGTTATTTGGGGGTCCAAGAAAGAGGCAACCAGCCCCATCCTGGGGAGCTCACCTTCCTGTGGGGCTGGTGGGCCGGGTAAGGAGGAGTCCATGGGTACCCCTCTGGGCTCCTTCCCGTGCCCAGGCCAGACGCCACCAGTGGGTCTGTGCTCATGTGGACCCTGACCCCCAGGGCAGGAAGGTTGTTGGCTTTGTCTCTGGGACCAGTGCCTGGGACGGGCTGGGCAAGGTGAAATGGCATGAGAGAACGGGCCTTGGCATGGAGCCTGGGCATTGGATCCCAGCGCTGCCTCTTCTGCCCATGTGACCTTGGGCGAGTTATGACTTGTGGCCTTGGTTTCCTCACCCGTGTAAGGGGATAATACAAGCACTTCCCCACCGCCAGGGTACGCAAAGCGCTTGGCAAACATGAGTGCTCAGCACACAGTATAAGCATTGTTCTGAGGTCATCAGTACATGATTTCTGATCATGAGAACTGTCTCAGTGGGTAGGAAGATACAGCCAGAGAAGTTACAGGAGGGAGCCCTGCCTGGGCTCTGGGCCGTCTGTCCTGGCTCAGACCCACATCTGCCTCTTACCAGCTGTGTGGCCTTGGGTAACTTGCTTCACCTCTCTGTGCCTCAGTTTCCTCATCTGAGAATGGGGATAATAAGAGTATCTCTAATACATGCTCTCATTGCTGCATTTAAAGAGTTTAAAACAGAGCCTGGCATATAGAACACGTGGTTTTGGTGTCATTAAGGGGGCAGCAGGGTAGAGAGGAGGTGGTCTCTAATCCCAGCTCTGTGCTGGCCTCCCTAGGTGGACCTAAGTAAATCTCTCGCCATCCTGAGCCTGCTTTTCCAATTTTGAACAAGGGGTTGGGCTTACTCAGAGAGCCCCTTCAGCAATCACAATATGTGGGCCTCTGAATCTCTGAAGGAAGTGGATGAGCATGTGTGGGGCAGTGCGACCAGCAGGTGCAAAGGCCCTGAGGCTGGACTATGTTACGTGGTGGAGAGCGGACCTGCGCGCCCTGCGAGGAGCAGGGCCAGCCTGCCCCTGGGGTGGTGAGAGACATGGGTGGGTGTTCACTTTTGCTAGCTCCCCCTCTTCCTTCCTCCAGGGCTCCTTTCCCCAGCCTCCACCTGTGGATGTGATGGCGGCTCCTGCTCTGTCCTGGTGTCTGTCCCTCCTTGTCTTCCTCCTATCCCTGGACATCCCTCAGGCGTCCACAGCAGCGAACGGTGAGGACACTGGCATCTCTGCACAATGTTACTTTCCCTCGGGGAGGAGGCCAAGGCCCTTCTACAGCCCTCCTGGGACCCTTTCTTCTTGGCAGAAGGTTCATCATCAGGGGCAGGAGGCAGGCAGGAGGGAGGCAGGGGCAATAGGACCAGAGACCAGGTACCAACCTTCCCCCTTCGCCCTCCATCCTGCCCGCACTGTATCCACACGCCTCTCTAGGCCACAGGGAGATGCTGGCTTCTCATTCCTGCCCTGCTTCAGCCTGCCTGTGGGGACCTTGCAGGCTATGGGGCTGTTTTGTTCTCTGAAACGGGCCCACTAACCCCTTCTCTGCCCACCAGGGTTGCTTACCTCCTCATCTGGTAGGAGCAGGGGTGGTGGGCAAGCCACTGGGGAGGGCCGTGGGTACCCTGCAGCCACTTATGCCTCGTCTTGCCAGCAGAGGCTTCCAAGCTCACATGCTTCTACAACTCGAGAGCCAACATCTCCTGTGTCTGGAGCCGGCATGGGAGCCTGCAGAACACATCGTGCCGGATCCACGCCCAGCCGGATAAACGGTGAGTGTGGGGTCGGCTGGCAAAACCGCACAATCTCAGGACTGTGGGATCTTACCATCACTGACATTTAGATTCTTGGAATCCTAACTCGCAGACTCCGAGACGTCTGTGCTTCGAGAACCTTGGACGAATAGAATGCACAGACCTTTGGTATCACAGAAGTCTGGAAAATGTGGGAATCAGATATTTAGGCTCTTGGAACCTGGGTGGGAGTGGGGCGTGGGGGTCCAGGCTACAGATGAGCTGGACAAGGCCAACTGGGGACAAGGGGCTTCAAGCCTGTTGTGCTGAGGCTGGACTTGACTTTAGAGGCAAGGGGGGCGGGGAAGAAAGGGGGCTCCCCAAGTTTTGTAAGTAACTTGGGATTTTGAGAGACCCTTAGGGCAGCTGTGGGGACAGGGGACAGGGATGTGGTTGCGGATTTTGAGGGGTGGTGGGTGGGAGTTGATGAACGGATTGCTGTGATACAAACATCCTGGTGGGAGCAGCGAAGGTGGCTTTGGCCCCGGCTCCTGTGGGTGGTGATTCCACAGGGGCTCCCAAGGCCCAGTCAAGCCCCATGGGAAGACTTCACAGGGCTTCAGGTAGGGAGGCTCAGTGTCCTGAACTGGTTTGTTTCTAGAAGATCCCTCTGGCTGCTGTGGGCCAGGCTCAGGTGGGGAGGGCAGAAGATGGTGCTTATGAGTGAAGGTGGAGCAGGTGGGGGAATTAGCACCCCCTGTGAGGTTGGCACGGCTGACTTGCACAGACTGACCTCACTGCATGGGGGACCATCCCAGGGGCCAACTTGGGTCCCTACTTTTTTTCTAAGGAGGTCCTTTTTCCTTGAAAGGCCCTGGAACAAATCCTGTGAGCTGAGCTCAGTGGGGCTGGCATCCTGGGCGTGCAACCTGATCCTTGGACCCCTAAATGTGAGTATCTGTAGTTGAGGAGAGAGGCCCAGGGGGACGGTAGGTGCCAAGGGGTGTCCTCCCAGGAGAGGAGCTGGGGCCCAGCCAGCCCAATGGCCAGCAAGCTGTGGTAGTGTGGGCTGCCTGGGGCTGGGAGGCGGATGGAAGGAGGGCAGTATCCAAAGGCCAGGACTCAGACCTGACCCAGGAGCAACAGATCCATGGGGTGTGAGGCTCACATTCTGCCCCTGCATCCACTGTCCCCCATGCTCCGCCATGCTGTGGGTCCTGTGACACCACTGCCCTCCTCCTCAAGCGGGGAGAGTACCCAGTGATAGTAATAACCACACATCCAACTCTGATCGAGGACGTAGCAAGTGCAGGGTGGTGTGGGGTCAGGAGTGTGGATCCCAGAGCGTAACAGTCTGGGTTCTAGCCCCGGCTTCACTGCACACCAGCTGGGTGATGTTGGACGGCTTCTGTGTCCCAGTCTCACCTCCTATAAAATGAGAATGATGCTGGTACCTACCTGTAGGGTTGATCCGAGCGTTGAAGCACTTGGAACACCACCCAGGGTAGAGCAGGCCCTTGGCACGATCGTCAGTGGACCCCTATGACCCTGGGTGGTCACCAGCATTGTCTCCTTAACGGATGAGGAAATTGAGGCTCAGAGAGGTGTGGTCCCTGCCCACGGTCACATAGCCAGAGAATAGCAGAGCTGGGATTGAACCCAGGTCTGTGAGACTCCCACCCGGACCTTTCGCCATGGCCCCAGGCTGCCTCTCAAAGGGCATGTAGCCGTGTCCATATGGTTGTACATCAGATTATTGTCCATCAAACCCTCCTTGGCTGCAGCGGGCACCAGGGATGCCCAGACCACATTTTCCAACTATCATCAGGTTATATGCATTCTCAAGGGGCAGGAGGGAGTGGAGATGGGCTTATGTGTAGGTGATAAAGGCACAGGCTGCATGCCTGTCTCCAAGAGCTCGGCAGGCGGTCTCGCTTCAGATCCTGGCCCCACCTAGCCGTGTGACTTTCCTAACTGTGTGACCTTAGGCAAGTCCCTAAGCCTCTCTGTGCTTCAGTCGCCTCAGTTGTAGGATGAGAATAGTCATAGTGCCTGTTGCATAGGGTGTTGAGAGAATTAAATGAGATACTATATGTAAAATGCTTAGAAGAGTACCTGTCAGACTAAGTGCGCAACAGAATATATTATTGGCATCTTTATAACAACAGTAATAACAGTAACAATAATAATATAATACTATTATTATCTGGGAAAATCTGGCCCCCTTAGAAGCTGGAAAAAGGCTGGGGCAGAGTCCTTGGGGTACAGAGGGAGGAATTGTTCCCAGCTCTGGGGACTGATAATCAGGTTCCAGGCTTGCTCCTAGTGAGCCCCGCAGCAGGTCAGAAGGACTGAGCCCTGGGTCCTGGATCTGCAAACAGCACCTTAGGCCCCAGAGCACAGATCCTCATGGGGCCTGCACTAGACCTTCCTCCTGCAGGCCCCGCAGGGCTGCCCTCTGCACGGGGCGGTGGCCACCATAAGATGCTCACTTGGCAGTCCTCCGTTGGGCGTGATGGGCCAGGGCTGCAGTCTCTGTGGGGCTGTCGACACAGAGCATGGGTTTGAACCTGGGTTCAGATGCATGACTTTGGGCAAGTCTCTTAACCAACCTGAGCCTCAGGTTTCTCACATGCAGTGTGGGATGAACGGCTGTGAGAATCAGCCAGAGAATGGCTAATGCTGCTGAGAAGTTCCTGCCCGTAGATGCTCAATACCTGGACATTTCCTTCCAGAAAAGTTAGGGTATGGGGAGAAATGGGATACGGGGGGCTCTCAGACTCAAAGCTATTACACAGGTACAGCTCCAGCCCTGCGTCTTCTTGGGGGCTCATCCCACTTGCACACCTCTTGTGACAGGGAACTCCCTTCCTCCCAAGACAGCTCACTTCACTTTAGATAAGGGGTTGACAAACTAATGGGGCCCATGGGCCAAATGCAACCTGCTGTCTGTTTTGTAAATAAAGTTTTATTGGCACATAGCCACACTCATTCTCTTACATGTCGTCTGTTGCAGAACTGAGCAGTTGTAACAGAGACCATATGACCTGCAAAGCCAAAAATATTTACTACCTGACCCTTTACAGAAAAAGTGTACTTCAGACAATGTGGGTGTGTGGTGGGGCTCCAACGGTTGCAGTCTTGGTCTTCCTCCTGTCCTTCTCCCGTCCCCCTCCCGATGGCTTTCCCCTGCCAGCTGTTGGTAGCAACATCCCTACCCCTTCACTTGCAGTCTCAGAAACTGACCTCAGCGGACATCGTCCACATCAGTGTGAAGTGCCTCCAAGGGAAGACGTGGAAGATGGTAATGACACAGCACTTCCATCCCTTTGAGAACAGTGAGTGACGACCCAGGGTGGGGCTGGGGTTGGGGGTAGGGACCTCCTTCCCTGTCATTTCTCTGGGATCGCACTGTTCTGCTGTCTCTTCATGAGCTTCCACACACACATCTGACCCGCTCACTGCACTCCGCCCTCAGGGTGCAGTCCTTGCTCTTTACCCTGGCATTCAAGGCTGCTCGGGATCCCACCTGGTTTTCCTCTCCAGCAAGCTCTTCCTGTGGCCTCTATTCCTGCCACACCCAAGACCAGTTCTCCAAACACAACTTGCCCAGCCATACCTCTGAGCTCTTGCACGTGCTGGTCACATCGCCTGGAAGGCTCTTTCTTTTTTTTTTAAAGATTTTTATTGGGGAATTGGGGGGATGGGAACAGTGCTGGGGAATTGGAGGAAGGGAAACAGACAAGTTGCTGTCGTTTTGTTCTTCAGTCTAGTTGTGGAGGACGTTGCTTCACTGGCCCAAGTTGGCACCATCATTGCGCTCTTCCCGGGCGAGGCAGATCAGTTGCCAGCTTCTGAACGGCCGCTCACGGCGGCTGCTGGCCGCTCACGCTGGCTGCTGGCTACACACGGTAGCCCATGGCAACCCACTGCCACAAGGGCTGCAGCCTACACCGTAGCCAGCGACTCACGGCAGCCCAGCTCCAGGTTGAGCTGTTGTTCAGCATCTTAGCTGTAGAGGGCAGTGTCACTGGCCCTCATATGTGGGATCCGAACCGGGGCCCTCTGGCATCCCAAGCCAGTTCTTAACCATCGCGCCACTCAGCCGGCCCTGGAAGGCTCTTTCTACATGGAAAATTCCCATCCACCCTCAAGGCTTGGTGAAGAGTCACCTCCTCCAGGAAGCTTTCCTAGATTCTCCCAGCCCTTTGTACCTCCTCTTTAAGGGTGTTCATGCCCAACGTCATCACTGCCTGATGATAGGTGTGCCTCCCTCACTGAGCTGTGAGCTCACTGAGAGCAGATTTGCTGCTACCCCTATGTCTCCATTCTGAGTGCTCAGCTCCAGGTCTGATCTGGCCGGTGCTCTGGGAAGGTTTGTTGAATGATGACTGAGTGCCTGGTCCCACCCCCAGCCCTTCCCACCTCCCCCAGAACTTGGGGTCCATCTCTATGGAAGAGGTGGAACAGAGGGTGAGATCCAGGTAGGGTGCTAAATGCAACCCTGCCTTAAGGTATGACCTGACTGGCAGATCTTTGAACATGTCAGCCTCGGTTTCCTCATCTATAAAATGGGGGATAATCAGTTACCTGCTATACATGGTTGCTGTAAGGAGTCTATGAGCCAAGACTCAGAAACTGCTTAGCACCACACTCAATCAACACTCGCTTATTGTTATTCATGGAATTCTACAGAGTCTCAGAATTATAAAAACTTAGATCAATTTAACTTCAGAATCATAACATCTTATACTCATATAAGATTAATGAGATTACATTACATAAAAGATGATCGATGTAAAACTCTTAGGTCATTTCTGTGTGCAGAGAAAGGCTGCCCTGACTCACTCATTCAGCAGATATTTAATTCCGTGCTTAGTACATGCCAAGCAATGTCCCAGGCACCAAGGACACAGGACAGAACAAAGTCCCTGCCCTCAGTGAGCTCACAGTCTGGTGGGGGAAGACAGTGACTAAAGAACCAAAAGTGGGTATTTAATATGTCAGGTAGTGATGAGCGCTAGAAAGGAAAATAACTCAGGTGAGGCAGATAGTGAGTGGCAGGTGGCTGGGGAAGGCTTTTCTCAATAGGTGATTTTAGAGAGGTGACCTGTGGACCTGGGAAGGGCATGTCGGGAGGGAGGAACAGCAGGTGCAAAGGCGGAGGTTGGAGCACGTTTCAGCTTTGTCATCTCAGCGTCATGATGACCCAGCGTTCCCAAAGCTTGCTCTCCCTTCCTGTCTCCTGCCTCCAGTTCGCCTGATGGCCCCCGACTCCCTCCAAGTCACCCATATAGGGACCCACAGATGCAATATAACCTGGAACGTCTCCCAGTCCTCCCATTACATTGAAAGATACCTGGAGTTTGAGGTCCGGAAAAGGTCCCCAGACCAAACCTGGGAGGTGAGTACATGGCCCAGTCTGACCTGCCCTGATTCCTCCTTCCTGTCCTGGTCACCGTGTCCATCTTGCATCGCAGCAAAGCTACAGCAGCCCCCAGGCAGCCCCTGCTGCTCCTCTGTACTGCCTGCTCCCGCCTCCCCCTTCCTTCACTTGCTCCCTGATAACCCAGGGCCTCCAGGGTTAGATTTCCGTAGTAAGAGGCAGGTGACTGACCTCTCTGTGAGATTTCAGAGGCCCTGGGATGCCACCTCTCCACTCTTCAAATCCAGTGTGGTCCAGGTCGACAGGGGTCTGTCCTTACTCATTCACTCATTCCTTTATTCGCTCGTTCAGTCATTCAACAAACATTTAGTGAATACCTACTATGTGCTGAATCCTAGGGAGAGAGTGGAGGGCAAGACTGATAGGTTTCCTGCTCTCAGGAAACTCACATGGGGTGAGTGGGGGGACAGGTAGTTGGCAAGCAACGGGAGACTGTGGGATATTGATAAATGCTATCAAGAAAACGAAACGGGATAATGCATCTGAGAGGGACTGGGACAGGCTACTACAGACTCAGCTGCTCAAAGATCTGAGGGTCAAGGAGGAGCTGACCCTGCAAAGATGTGGGGAGGGTTTTCCAAACGGAGGAAGCCGCCACTGCAAAAGCAAGACACTGCCTGGGTGTGTGGGGAACCGGAAAAAGGCAAAAAGAGAGATGCAGGGGTGGGAGTGGTCTGTGGACAAATCCCTTTCTGGTTGTGTGGAGAACGGACTGTAGAGAGTGCGGTGGAAGCAGGGAGACCAGCCTCAGGCCTGAGAGGAGGTGGGAGCTCAGACCTGGAGCGGGGAGGAGAGGAGAGAAGGAGGAAGGGTCTACAATAGGTTCTGGAGGCGGAAACAGCTGATTGGATGGAGACGATGAGGGAGAGGGAAGGGTTTAGGATGACCCTGGGGTTGGGTCCCAGCAACTGGGGTGTCAGGGAGCCCTTTGGGAGGATGGGGTGGGTGTGGAGGAGGGGAGAAGGGGAGGTGCTGCTTTGCTCAGCCTTCCAGCCAGCCCTGCCATGGGAGGTGACGTGGGTGGTAGGGGCCCTTCTCCCTGAGAGCCCTATCTCTGTCCCAGGAGGCTCGCCCGCTGACCCTCAGGCAGAACCAGCAATGGATCCACCTGGAGACGCTCCTTCCGGACACCCTGTATGAGCTTCAAGTGCGGGTCAGGCCCCAGCGAGGCAACTTCACAGTTTGGAGCCCCTGGAGCCAGCCCCTGGCCTTCAGGACGAGGCCTGCAGGTACTGGTGGACAGCAGGGGTGGGGATGGAGCTAGGACAGCAGGGTGTAGCTGGGGTGTTGCTCTGGGAGCAGCTGGTAGGGGAGGCTGGGGTCTGGGGCCGCCGTGCCCGTCTGTCATCATCAGCTCACTTGGTGTGACCCTGCATGGTGGTCGGCGTGGGCAGAGTTTCACCCATGGGAACAGGGACTCAGTGAGCAGATGAGACTTGCCCACGGCTTTGTGAGTTAATGGGGAGGCCAGAGATGCTCTTTCTACTTTCTCTACCCTGAAACCTCAATTCCTGGTTTCTGCCAGGGTCGGGGGTGGACTTTCACCTTTCAGCCTCAGTTTACTCATCTGTAGAGTGGGTACCATGATGCTGAGGCAGGGCTGCTGTGACGAAAGCATGCAGTGCCCCATGTCGGCCTGGCACACAGTAGGTCTGCTGGACCAGCTGGGAAGCTGGGAAGGTCTTAGGTCAGAAGTCAGCCTACCCCTCAGCACCAGGGTGGGGGTAGCAGGATGCTGGAGTGAGCCGGGTGAGCTGGGGTACTTCTGTAACCTCTCTCCCCGCTTCTCTTCCCATCCGTTGGCAGCCCTGGGGAAGGAGACCCAGGGCCTCTCTTGGTTGGGCCACACCATGGTGGGCCTCAGCGGTGCCTTCGGCTTCCTCATCTTAGTCTACCTGCTGACCAGCTGCCGGTACCTCGGGCCGTGGTAAGAGCAATCCCCATTTGTCCTGCGTGCTCCCATCTCTCATACACACACACCCCTTGCCGGGTCAAGTTCTGAGCTGAGCCCCCTGCTCAGACACAGCAGTGCTCCCTCTGCCCTCCCAGGAGTCCTCCCTGCCCAACAGCTGGCCTTTCCCTATGACCCACCCCCAAAGATGGAACCCCATGGAACCAGCCTGAGGGAAGCAGGGAAGGGAGGGCCCCAGGGGGGCCCTGCCCAGAGCATCACTTTCAGGAGTTGAGTGTGTGTGTGCACACGTGTGTGTGTGCACTCACTAGCTGCCTGTGTGTGGGGGTCCTCGTGGGTCTATCTGGGTCTGGGCAATCGTTCATTTCTTCTTTTATTTACTGAGCTCAGCTCAGTGCCAGGTACAGCGCTGAGTGCTGGGAACGCAAGGGCTAGCCATATGCACATGGTCCCAACTTCCTGGAGCTCACAGTCCCATGGGGGAAGGCAGATGTTCACTAGTCATACACATATATAATGACACGCTGTGGTTAGCATGGTGAAGGAAGGTATCATGTATATTGGAAGCAGACTACAGGGAGAGGAACCTTGGCTGAGGGGTGGTCGGGGGAACTTCCCTGAGGAAGTGATGATTCTCTTGCAATCCGAAGGAGGAGCTAACCAGGCAGGACTTGAGGGGGGGAGGGGGGGAAGGGGAGGAGCTAGGGAGTGCATCCCGGGAAGAAGAAATAGCACGTGCAAAGGCCCTGGGTGGGAAGGAGGGACAAGCCTTCTAGAAACTGAGAGTGCAGGGAGGAAGGTGTGGTCAGAGACCGTAAGGGAGGTGGGTGAGGGCTGACCTGAGCCTGGGCAGGTCATGTGGGCAACAACCAGGCATTCTGGGGCCTAGAGGCTGGGGCATTTAGCTTGACAAGCAGAACATGGGTTGGAATTCAGCCCCCACTCACCAGCCCCCAAACCAGGTACTCTTGGGCAGTGCACAACTTGAACCACCATCCATGACAGCCCTGACTGGGAGGCACACAATCTGGCCCCTCTTACCTCCCTCCTGCTGGTTCATTCTGCTCCAGTCATCCTTGTCCCTGACCGCTCTGATTCATGCAGTCCCCCACCTCCACATTCTTCTCTTCCGTAACAGTCTGCTCTTTGTCTCTGCAGAATGAATGGTAATGTTGGACACTTGGTTCTGTCTCCCCATTAGAATGTCAGCTCCTTGAGAGCAGGGACCTTCTCGGCCGGCCATTCTTGTGTCCCCAGCACCCAGCACATGATCCTCCCTTACTGGCTATTCAATCGGTGTTGACTGAATAAACGAGCGAATGTGGAGTGGCTCCGTGCCCTGCCCTCAGAGCTGTGGGCTGATGGCAGGACACTGCGGTCCCCTTCCCTTCTCACCCCCCTTCCCTCTCCCTTGTTAAGGTTGAAGAAGATTCTGAAGTGTCACATCCCAGACCCCTCAGAGTTCTTTTCCCAGCTGAGCTCAGAGCATGGAGGAGATTTCCAGGTAGGAGGCTGGAAGTGGGCAGCTGACACGGGCTGGCCAGAGCGTGGCAGTGGCGCCGGTGGGCGGGGAGGTGGTGCAGGAGGGGTGTGCACTGTGTGAGAGCAGACCAGTGCTGAAGTGAGCAGCCTCTGGGGCGGGGGCGGGCCCCTTTCCCCAGCTCTGGCACCAGCGTTCTCAGGCTGACTGACGCCTCCTGTGTGAGCCAGACCGCCTGGGTTCAAATCCCGACTCCACCACTTCCTGGCTGTGTGACCTGGCGCAAGTTATAGTACCTCTCTGTGCCTCAGTTTCCTCACCTGTAAAATGAGGAGGAACCTAGTGTTACTATGTGCATGGCCCCGAGAACGTTGCCAGGCACCACACGGTCAGTGCTCAGGGGGCCCTAGCTAGAATTACCGTCACCAGCCTGTGGACTGAGCGGGTCTTGCCAGGAACGTTCTCCCCATACCGCAGAGCACAGGCTTTCTCTGTGGGGAGAGTGCTCCCTCTGCCCCTGCAAAGAATCTCTGGGCAGGTTCCATAACTGATCACACATGCTAACAAGTCCTCTAGTCACTTCTAGCTACAAAACACAGATTCATTTTGAAAGCGCGGGCACATACAATAGTATCACTCCGAACATCATTTAAAGTTCAGTTGTCTCCCCTCCCCCAGCCCACACCCACTTCAGGAAGGAAGCTTCAAGGGGGATGAGGGATGTGGTGGGCTGCTTCTACCACCCTACCTCCCCCTCGCCCTGCCCCAGGCTCCCTAGATTTGTGGGGGAGGGGATGAGGTGGGGTGGAGGGAGGTCAGGAGGAGTGCTGAGGGACTGGAAAGCCATACTGGACCAGAGCTGTCACGGGCTGGCTTTGGAGTTCTCTATCAGGGCTGGTCAAGGCCCCTTCTGGAATTCTTTGGAAAACTTCCAAACTGGGGCTATCTTACCTACAGTCTTCTCGATGCAGGGACATGTAGCTCCCTAAAATTCCTCCTTCAGCCCTACAGGTAGTGAGTTCCCCATCAACAGAGGTATACAAGCAAGCCTTGGCTGATTATGTGTCAGAAACATAGTTGAAGGGATTCTACATTGGAACTGGTTGGAGGCTGCACTAGATGCATCCTCAGTCCTCTCACAGCTTTAAGTCTTCCTGATTTTATGGGCCTAGGACATTTTGAGGTAGAAGTAGGGTGCTTCCTAGACAGCTGCAAACCACCCCATCTTCCCACGAGGCCATCCCCAGGTCTAGATGCCTGCCCCAGGCCTCCTGTGTAGAGGAGGCCCTGGGGTCACAACATGTGGTTGGGGGTTGGGTCTGGCCCGGAGGGATCCCCCACCCTCTGCATCTGTGTGGAAGGCCTGCTTCTCTCTCTCTACCCCAGGACCCTTGGCTGCGGGGCCACAAGGCCCATGCCCTGTCCATGGGACCTGGGAATGAGTGTGAGGGTGTGAGTGTGCTCCCCACCCCTCACTTCAGGGCATCATGGATGGAGGCCCAGGCCAGGAAGTGGCTGACGCCCTCCCCCCAGGGGGCCCAGGGAGGCCTGGCACACCAGCACTGGTCGCAGGCTCAAGGCCGCTGCCTGGCCCTGCCCTCCACTGCCTCTTCTAGTGTCGGGACCTCACCCGACCTGCACTCCTTCCCTCTCCCCTAACTGGCTACCTTTCCTCGCCAACCTCAGTTTGCCCTAGTGTCTCTCTTACTCTGGCTTTTTCTCCTGTAACACAAACTCCTGGTTTGGGGGAGGGGGCCGTGCATGCGTGTGTGCGTGTGTCTGTAGAACACCTAGCTCAGCCCCGGGAACTCACTCTGGGAAGGGAGACCAGGCCATGTCTCTACTGGTCTGTTAATTCATCTGACTTAGATTGATTGGCTCCCTGACTCTGTGCTGGGCACAGGAGTACCATCAGGTCTGGTCCCTGGACTCTGGGGACCACAGTTCAGCTGCTGAAGATTCCCAGGACTGAGAGCTGTTGGGGTTCTCAAACGCACCCACCTGAGGAGTCTATCACCCCATCCTGGGGGACTACCGCCCCCCAAACCTTGGCAGCGTAGTCTGCACGGTACCCTGGGCCAGCTGTTTCTACCTTCATTTTCTTACTTGGCAGTTCCTTGGCAGCCACAGTGAGGAAGCAGGAGGGAGGCAGCTAACTGCTGGAGACTAGCTCATACAGCTGCAGGGACCTGCCCAGGTTCGCATAGCTAGTGAGAGCCAGGCGGGAGGCCAGGTCCCCGCTCCTGGCCAGGGCTCTCTGGACTCTGGAGCAACTGAGAAGTGCTCTGATGGGCACTTTCCTCTCTCTGTGGAGGGAGGCTGTGTGTATGTGTGTGTGTGTGGGGGGAGGGCTGCAGGGCCCTGAGAGGGAGAGGCCAATTGGGGGGACATTAGCTCCCCACTAGAGATGTCTCCATGGTAGTGTGAGCGGGGAGCCTGGAGTCCCAGCTCTGCCACCAGCTGGCTGTGTGCTTAGGGCCAGGGAACACCACCTCTGGGCATCTGTAAAGTGAACAAGATGTGCTCCTAGTTCCTTTCTGTTTTGGCATTGGTGGGTTGCTTGGGGACACACTCGTACTAGTCCCCACCAGACACTGATATTCTACCCTTTGCTGTGTCCCCGGTACCTAGAGCAGTGCCAGGCTCGTAGCGGGTGCTCAGTAAGCTGTCACTCATTGAGCCAATGCATTGCCTGAGCACCTGCAATGAGCCAGGAAGGCCTATGCTGGGGCTGGGAAGCAAGCACCTCCCTGGGCCGACCCAGAGGTTTTTCCACAAGCCAGTGGGCAGGTGGGGGAGGGCTTGTCAGAGGGGGCAGTCCTGCCTGGCTTGCTGAAGGAGTTCGGAGTTGTTGCTGAGAATCTGGAGGAGGCACCCCGCTCACCCTCCTCTGTTCTGTCTCCTGGCAGAAGTGGCTGTCCTCGCCTTTCCCCTCATCCTCCTTCAGCCCCAGCGGCCCGGCGCCTGAGATCTCCCCGCTGGAGGTGCTGGACAGGGATGCCAAGGCCACGCAGCTGCTCCTTCTGCAGCAGGACAAGGAGCCCTCCCCCTCCCTGGAGACGAGTGGCCACTCGCTGACCAGCTGCTTCACCAACCAAGGCTATTTCTTCTTCCACCTCCCGGATGCGCTGGAGATTGAGTCCTGCCAGGTGTACTTCACCTATGACCCCTGCGCCGAGGACCCCGACGAGGGCGGGCCTGGGGCACCCGAGGGGTTTCTCCTCCCGCCCCTGCCGCCTCTGCCTGGGGAGGACCACGCCTATTGCACCTTCCCCCCTGGGGAAGACCTGCTGCTCTTCTCCCCCAATCTCGTCGTTGGCCCGAGCCCCCCAAACACTGCCCTGGGGGGCACTGGGGCCAGTGAAGAGAGGCCGCCCGCCTCCCTACAGGAGGCAGGCCCCAGAGACTGGGCCCCCCCACTCCTGGGGCCTTCCCCTCCAGAAGCCCCTAGCCTGGTAGATTTCCAGCCGCCCCTGCAGAACGCACTGGGAGAAGCAAGAGAGGAGGCCCCTGCTCCCGGCCCTGGGGAGGGGGCCAGCTTCCCATGGGCCAGACCCCCTGGGCAAGGTCAAGTCAGGGCCCCCGCCTCCTGCCTGACCCTGAACACTGATGTCTACTTGTCCCTCCAAGAGCTCCAGGATCAGGACCCAGCTCACTCCATGTAGAAAGTCGGCCGGGCTGAGAAGCAGGAGGCCCCCCACTGTTGCTCCAGCTCCGCTGAGCGGTCTGTCCTCAAGGCTTGTCCACTGCTGAGACGCTTGGTGTCCGGTTGCCCCGTGGATATCTCCAGCGGATGGCCCCAACCTGCCCCTGCACACTCGGCAGTTCACTTCCAAACCTTAATTGCTGCTCCCTGGTCCTACTGCCCAAGTCAGGAACTGCAGGGGGAGGGGACACTTTCACCCCCCCCCCAACACTCATAAATCATGGGATCCCCTGAGTTTTGCCTCTGAAACATCCCTCCAGCCTGCAGCTGCTCCTCGGGGAGCGTTCCTGAGGTTCTCCAGGCTTCTGCACCCCAGCCTCCTCACTGGGTTTCCTGCCCAGTGTCATCCACTCTCAGGCACCCTGCACAGGGCAGCCAGAGCGCTCTTTCCAAAACAGACGCAGCTCTGCTGCCCTTGTTTAAAACCCTGTCGTGACGCTCCGCTGCCCTCGGCCCCACTTCTTGGCCTGGCCCTCACCCCGTCCAGCATCATGCTGGGTCATTCCCTTGCGGAACCCTATCCAAAGCCCTCTGGAGCCCCTTGGAGCCCCCTCACGCCCCCACACATTTGCACATGCCATTCGTTCTCTATGCCTGCGGTGCCCTGTCCTTTCTCATCTAGGTGATCAAGTCCCCTTAGCCTTCTGCCAGTTCAGCTTCCCTTGGAGAGAACACTGCTTCCCTTAATGTGCCCAAACCGTGTGGTTCAGTGCTGGACGGATAAGCTCTCAGGGTCACAGGGCAGCTGAACAAAGTGGCCCTGTCACTTCCCCGTGGCGTCTCATGACCTCAGAATGCTTGGCTACCACATCTTTAACGCGGTGGCCCAGATATGGACACAAATCCCCCAGTAAGATGGCCACTGGCGGGATCCTTCCACAATGGCTTCACAGAGTCATAAACATGCTGATGCTCCCCCTCCTGGTGGCAGGTCCTGATGCTGGCACAGGGAGGCCACTCCAGGGCTCCTCCTACTCCTCCCTCCCCTGCAGGGGTCTCTTCTGGGGCCCAGGGGCTGGCACACCTCCTCCAGAGGGGCACCTCACTGCACTTTGACAAAGTGCACTTGGCATCCCATCCTGTTTCCCGGGTGGTTAATGAACCAGCTGGCACCACCTTGCCTGGGCTCCCTGCGCCCAGCTTCTTACAGCGGGCACCATCCACCTCCCAGGAGCACCCTGGACGCCTTGACCCTTCTGAGGTCAAGCCTCATGCCCACTAGGTTACAGCACACTGGCTCCAGCAAGAGACATCGCCTCACATGGCAGTCCTCCCGCTCCCAGCCCCTGCTCAGGGCTCCCCAGCATCCCTCCACTTCTTTTCCCTCTATCCTGGCACTGAGCACACATACCTGTGATGTCTGCCACACTTTACCTCCTTAACGAGGAGTCTTAGGAAAGCATTTACAACTATGAGCCAGGAGAGCTGCAGTGCCTTAATTTGCAGGCCCTGCTCTCAACTGATTGGGCACTTGACACAAGCCCCCCCACCGCAGGCTGACCAGCAAACTATGAGGGGGCTTGGAACAGAAGCTCTGTCCAATCAGGGAAGCCGGGCCTGAGCTGACCAATCAGGTTTCTCTCAGTCTTGGGCCTTTGAACTCAGGGAGGGAGGGAGGCCCCTGGGCGCAGGCGCAAGTAGAGAGGGCATGGGGAAAAGGCTAGAGTGGGATTGAGTCCCTGCTCCTAATACAGAGACTGCTGCTGCTGAGGGGGCTACTGGCGGTTCACTCAGGTTTCTCATGTCCAAAATAAACTCCCTTTTCCGGAGGTTGCCTTGAATCTTGGATACTTAACGCGGAATAGCTGAATTACTCAGAGGTCTCACTCCCACCTCCTGCCATCGGTGCCCTGTGTTCTTGGCTGCAAGGCGCCTCAGCCCTTGCCTGAGCCTCAAACCCTAGCTCCACGCCCAGACCTTGGCTGTGTGTCCTGGGATAAACTAGGAAACCTCTCTGCAAGTTAGTTTTTCTACTTCGCAGAGTTCTTGGGAAGGCTTACATCGCTCAAGCCCTGGTCATTTGTGTTATATATATGTACTTTTTAATGATCCGTGTGTACCATCTTTGTTTTTGTTTCCTTAATATTTTTCTTTAAGTCAAGTCACTTTTTTTGTTTAAAAACTTTTATTTAAAGAAACATCTTTTTGTTATTCACTATAAATAAAAGATAACTATCAAAAGTAAATACAATGAAATGTTTCAGTTCATTGCCTGCTGGAAATCTGCTCTGTCTCTTAGTTTAAAGGGGAGATTAGCAAGTGTAGGGACCAACTGGAGACTTCCTCCTTGAGGAAAAGCGAAAGGATTGTAAAGCAAATATCCTTTTCACTCACAGGAGTCTGATTTATCTTATCCTGTGTCTAGGCACCATCTGACATGGTCTCATGGGAAAAAAAATTGCACTGGATTTTTATATATACTATAATTTTATTTTTCAAAATCTTATTTTAGTGTCCCTGACTCTGAAAAGTTGGACCAGATCATGGATGGCAATCGCTGGTATTTACAAAGCTGCATGCATGGCAGACATTGCTAATTGATCGTGGCCCTCCTTCTGGAGCTTGGGTGCAACATTAGACTCTGTAGTCAGGTCCCGATTGATCATGGCTGGCACCTGGTGACATCTTGACCAGATACTCCCTCAGGTTTCTTTCACAGCAGAACCTCCAATTTTCCAGGCAGGAAAAACAGGAGGAGATGATGAAGGCTGGGAAGCTGAGGGGAACCGATGCGCGGGCACTCCCAGGGAATCCAGCTGTCCCCACCATGTCTGATGAGAGACCTGAGCTGGTGGTGAGAGGAGTAAGGGGCCACCTTACACCAGGTGGCGATGGACTGATGGGTCAGAGTGGATTGAGTGTGGGCCTTGAGAGATAGAGCAAGCAGGGAGCAGCTGGGAGGGGTGGAAGCAGTAAATGAGGGACAGGCCTGTCTGGCTCAGATTGCATTGAAGAGGAGCAGCAGCTGGGGACCTGGAAGCCTAGGGTGCCAGGTGCAGAGCGGGCAGCGGGAGGCACCCAGGGCAGATTGGGGGATAAATGAAAAGGGAGGAGAGGTGGGAGGGCCTTTCAGACTCGCAGATCTCCAATTTCTTGAGCTGTATTTGTTCCCTCACCAACCCAATCCCCCAGTCTCTCTGCTCTCCCCTCCCCACACCTCCCAGCTCCCACTCCCAGCAACTTCCAGGGCCCGCAGGTACCAAGAAAACCATGGTGGAAACAGACCATGACTGGGATGAATAACCTACCACCGTCGCCCTAATTATTGGCCTTCTGGACAACTCCAAAAATAGTTGAGAAGCACATTAAAAAGGGATAAGAAAACTAATATTTATGTTCCAGACACTGTGCCGGGCACTTCCCAAGCATCATCTCTTTTCACCTGAAAAGGACCCCGTGAGGCAGGTGTTATGTTCCGCATTTTGCTGATTAGGAAACTGAGGCCCGCAGAGGTTAAGAAATGCAGCCGATGGTTGATACGGCCAAGATACAAACTCAGGTACATGCAGCTCCAGAACTTTGGGTCCTTTGCATATACAAGCCTGCATGGGAGACAAGTACATTAACTGGGGGGAAAAGACCAAGCAAAAGTCCATTCTAAGCTTTCTGGCAACCCATTTGGAAAAAAAAAAAAAAGCTCGCATTCCATGACTGGGGTTTTGGTTGAAACCAGCCCCACCCCTGTGACCCGGCAGCCTCGCTTCTAGATTGAATCCCTGCTCAGCCTCCTCCTTGGTCCCCTTGCCCCTGCCACCTGCCCCTCTAATTTTTGTACCTCTGAGCCCTGCCAGGATGGCCTTGCTCGGGGTCACATCTGGCCACGCCCCACCCCTGCTTAGCTCCCCCACTGACTGCCTGTTTTCTTTCAGGTCAGTGGCTGAACCCTTTCATGTGATAGTCCATGCGCTGGGGGACCTCAGGCAGGTCCCATCTGCTCTCGTGCCTCAGCCGCCCCTTCTGTGAATGGGATAGTCAGATTGGATGATTTCTAAGTGCTCTCTTAGCCCTACTAGTCTGTCATTTCAGGGGCCACACGAAATGCGGCTTGTGGCTGGGACTACGTTCTCTCACTTCAAGAGTAGGGGAGACGAGAGAGGAGGACAAGGACCACAGCTGACTCGTTTACTTTGGCATCTGCTGGTCCCTGGGTTTGAAGTCATCCTGACACCCAAACAACCCACTCCCAGACTCCCCCACATCCCTTGGGACCCCACTCAAACATCGCCGTTTCTCGGAGGCCCTTTGAGTATTCCCAAGTAGTGATGATGACTGCCTCCTGCTGCCCCTTTCTGAGTTCCCTCTGCTAAAAACCATCTTTTGTGCTGTGAGTCAGACCCTGCATGAAATTCTAGGGCTATAAGGATGATAATAATAGCTGTGGAAGAAAATCAGCCAGACCCCATTAGCACAAGACTTTATTCAGAAATACCAGGCCTGAGAAGGCTGTGAAGGAGCCTTCCAACTTAGGGAAGGAAGGCAGATAGAATGTTGTACTCGTAAGAAGGACCCAGCCAGAAACATTCTAGGCTTAATACGTCTTCAGTTGGTTTGGGGAGCAGTTGGTGGAGGATGGCTCTTGGAAGAGGGAGAAATTGTGCTTGCAGACTAGCCGCCACGGTTTGGCAGCTTGAGTTTTTATCGACATGTAGTGGGGGAGGGACAGCTGTGGGGACAAGGACCTGTGAAAGCCACAGTAGAACGTCCTCAGACCTCCGGGGTCTCTCTACGGAGCACTGAGCGTGCATCGGGCTCTGCTCTAAGCACACTGTGTTATTAACTCACTTGATCTTTTACAACAATGTCAGGAGAGAGGAACTATTCTTACCCCATTTTACAGATGAGAAGCCTAAGGCACAAGGTGGCTAATGACTTGCCCAAGGTCACACAGCTAGAACACAGTCAAGCAAGGATTTGAACCCAGGTGGCCTTTAGCATTCACATGACTGGCTCTTTATAGCCTTTAAAGTGTGTGCATGTCTAGTGTGTCATAAAATCTCTCAGTGGCCTAGAAAGACAAGAACAATTGAGACTCTGAGTCCTACGTCACAGATGAGGACAGGAGGTCCCATGAAAATGGTGCTGTGTCCCAGGCCACACAGTGAATTTAGGGGGCAAGAAGGGTGGACTGGAACCCTGGGCTCTCACCCCTACATCCTACTGTCTCGTGGCCACTGTCGTTGGAGACGAAGGGCGTGTTGGGTTGTTGATTAAAGTTGAGCTCAGCACCAGCAGCCCGGGCCTGGCCCCTGTGACAGCCCCGGGACATCCCCTTGCCGGCTCGCTCAGAGACATTTTCCACCACCACAGGTATGACACACTCGATGGTCCCGTCACAGCACCGGGGAGGTGTGGCGGTGCTCAGAGCTGTGGGAAAGCAAGGCAGGAAGTGCTGAGTGGGGAGAGAGGCACCCAGTGTACAATTCCAGGAAGCCAGGACGCAGGGGGGGGGGCTGGAGGGAGATGCAGCATCTTCCATTCCTCCGTGCCCCTGGCCTCATGCCGGGCACTGGTCACAGAGAGGAGGCTGGTGACTGCCCTGTCTGCAAAGCCCCCAGCCCTGTGGGGGAGGGAGTGACCATAGAGGGCACGAAGAAGTAAACTGACAGTCACTCCTTGCTGCTTGGAAGAAAATCAGCCAGAGCCTTTATTGAAGATGCCTGGCTTGGGAAAGCTCCTAACCTGGGGAGGGAGAGTGGAACGTTGCATGGGGCTTTTAGTAAGAGGGGCTCAGCCGCAGCTCAGCTAGTTTGGGATATAGTTGGTTGAGGATGGCTCTTGGGAGAGGGAGGAATTTTTCTTAGAGATACGTTCATTCATTCACTCAACATGCATTTCCAAAGGGTCTGTTACGTTCAGGGCATGGTGCTAGGTGCTGGGATCCAGTAGTGGACAAAGCGCCCTCTGCCCTGCCCTGAGACACCTGCAGCCTCCTTGGGGCAGCTGGTACGGTGGTTAAAGCTCTAAGTCTGGACCTCAGCAGTGTGGATGAAATCCTGGTTCTGGTGACTACAAGCTGTGGCCTTGAGCAAATGCCTGAACTTCTCTGTGCCTCACTTGTCTCATCTGTAAGAGAGGGGCAAGTACCAGGATGTGAGGATTACAAACATGAGTGTATGCAAAGTGTTTGAAAGAGATGGGACAGGCAAGGACAAGGCTGTGACCAGGGAAAGCCCAGGGCTGCAGACGTGGCAACAGCTGGCTTGCTGGCTTGCCTCTCAGGTGCTCTCGCTGTCTTGGTGATGCTGTTTGGACGGGGCTGACCTGCACACAGGTGCAGGTGGGGGTTCTATTGCCCTCCCTCCACCTCCTTGCCCTTGCCAACCTCCTGCTCCTCACTGTCTGTCTCCCCCGGGCACCTGGATAGGTCTGAGAATTTATAGGTTTAAGGTGTGACCTTCCCTAGGGGTATCCAAACACCCAAAGGGATGATTCTCTGATGAGGGGATTCCAGGAGATGTGACAAAGGTGAAAGGAAAGCTATTGGGTCTTCTACCCACCTCTCAACTCCAGCTACGTTAGCTGCCACCAGCCAAGGGCACCGAGTCCCTCCCACTTGTCCCACTTGTCCCCTTTGAGCCTCAGTCTCTTCATCTATAAATTGGGTGAAGGGTGCTGGGGAGAGGAATCTGTTTTATCTGGAAGCTCCCTTCTGGCTGAACCGTCTGTTCCGTGGCCTGTGGAAGGATGGGGAGGGTGTCCCCACTCACTCTGATAAAATGACCCAGCAAATTTGCCATTGCAGTCCTCCTCCCCCATCTCGGTTTTAAATACCTGAAGGAATTACTGATTGGAAAAGCCTCATGTGATATGCTCTGTAGCCAACCCTGCAGTAGGCAACCCATTCCTCATTTATTCTAACCCATTTATTGAGCTTCTACTATGTGCACTGCGCTGTTCAAAGTAGACATTGGAGAGAGTTGAGATTGCACAGGACAAGGCTTGGTGTTGGTCAATCCCAGGGTTTGAGTGGGTGGCCCCAGCCAACGGTCCAGCAACTCTTGTAACAGCAGGTATAGAAGAGGCCCCCACCCCACCCCCCACAACATTGGTCAGAGCTACCAGCCAGGGACTGAATAAGTTAGCAAGGGAATTCTGTTG